TCGTGACCCAGCCCCCACGCCGCACCACTGTGCAGCCTGCACACCCACTCCAGGGGTGCCTCTTTTCCACAGTGGTGAGTGCAGGGATGGAGAATTCACCCAGGCCTGACCAACCTCTGCACGGTATTGCCCTGGCCACAGTGGCTGGTCCCTCACTGCTCCTGTCGGTGTGCGCTGCTGAGGCCTTGTTCTGCTGCCACCATTTCGCAACCACAGGGAAGCCAGACCAAAGATGAACTAGCAGAGAAGTGGAGAGCCAAGAAAAGCGCAGAGAAGCAGTTCAGACCGCACATCAAGTTCCCTCCTCAGCCTCCAAGCCCGGGACCTGGTCAGTGCCCAGCTGACAAGTCCCAAGTCCCTTTATCGTTTAAGTCAGTGTGAATGGGGACTGCTGTACACAAAAGCACGCTCACTGGTGCACGGCTTCTTCGCAGGGGCAGCACCCATTGCTCTCTGGCCATGTCCGCAGCCTGCCCGACTCTCCAGGGGCAGCACCCACTGCTCTCTGGCCAGGCTGAGTTTCTGCAGCTCCCCGGTGCCTTCACAGTCCTGTATCTCTTTTACAATGCTTCCTGTGCCACCTCACTCCCAACTGTCCCCCTGGTGCACTGCTACCTAATCTTTAGAAAATCTCCTCTAAAAGCATCTCCCCTGAGCCCTTCCTGTCAGGTGGAATTGCCTATTTTTTTCCTTTATGCCTAAGGTAGCCTGTATGTTCCTCAATTATGTTTTTTATCACATTTTATTGCATTTATTTCCTTGTATATCTGTCTGACCAGCTTTTGAGGAAATGAGACTTGACCTCAGCACAGTGCCTGGCATATAGAAAGGACTCAGGGAAAGCATACCCACCACAGTGCCTGGCAAGGAGGACCATGACATACAAATTCACGGTCACCATCAGTGCAGAAGTAAATAAAAGATGATCGATATGCCTAAGTTGTACCATTCTAATGAACTAGACTCCAAATTAAAAGGTATAATTGAGGTAGATAAACTATGGAAATAAAATTATCCATATGCTGTATTATAAGCACATTAATGATAATTTGCAAGATGTGTTCAAAAAATTCAAAATTCTCTATTAGAAAAAGAGCTTATACGTAGACAATATTTATATTAGGTATACTTATGACAACAACCTGTCTGTTTAGTGTCTTGCTATGTCTTACTTAAATGTGTTTTAAAAGATAAGGTCTAACATAGCAAGCTATCCTCCTTCCTTTTAATTAAGCCACAGAGGTCATATCCATTCCCTCGTGCAAACAGCAGCTGACGTCAGTGACTACATGGGAACAGTGGTCGGTGGGAGAAGGGCAAGGGTCCCCTCCCGCCCTGCATGCTCACCCTCTGCCCCATGGGAGAGAGGGCCCTCACACGGCAGTCACCAGACACAGCCTTTCTCCTTCCTCTTCTCCTTTCTGCCTCTGCCTGGAAGAGCAAGAAAAACCACGAGGGCAGAGGGAACAGGAAACGTCTAACACCTGGCTGACAGCGGTTCTCACAGCAGCTGGGTCTCTCCCTGAGAGACTGTCGCCCTGGGAGGAAAAAGCAAGTTGTCGAAACATCACCCTGGAGAGGTTTTTGACCCTATGCAAAAGATCTACCAAGAAGAGAAAGCAGGGTCCCACTGAAGATGGGGAGGGAGGGAACACTGAGCACGCTGCATGAAGATAATTCTGTTCTTCACATTTTGCTGTAACTGGATATCTCCACAGTGACTATGAAGGGCCTACTACCTAGCTATTTTAATAAAATGCCGTATAACACTTTAAATAAAAATAAAAATACGGAAAAGTACGAAGTATAGGAATAACACACACACGTATCTACCATCCAATAAACAAAATTAACAGCGTCATATTTGCCTTTGGTTATTCCAATCTTTAAAAACACACACTTGACTTGGACAGAACACTTTTCAGGCAGCCGTATCTTCCAAGAGTCTGGCTGTTTGAAACACAAGATCAAAACAACAGGTCGACTACTGATCCACCTCGCGGTGCCCTAATCCCACGCCAAGTCTAGGTCTAGATGAAAGGCTCTCTGCAGACAGGCTCCTTTGTAGTCTTCTCCACCGCTGTATCCCCAGCACACTGCACAGTGTATAGCACACAGTAAGTGCTCCATAAATGCTTAATGTATAAATGAACAGAGGGAGAAATAAGCAGACCAGCCTTTCAGGTCCAACCTCCACATAGTCATTACTAGGAAGAGATGGCCTCAGGCAAGCCTAAGCTCTCTAGGCTGATTTCCACCTCCGCAACAAGACAAGACTCATTCAGTTAGGAGGTCCCTCCTAGCTCTAAAACCCTGTATCCAGTGAATAAGGTAAATGACAAAGTCTGACAAAACCACCTCACAACAATAATATCCTAGACGGAGTACTTACTGAACACTAGTTGTAAATAATTAGCTCTGGATGTTTCTATTTCCTTCTTTGGTAAATTCTCAATTGATAATAGCAATCTCCATCCGCGCTCTTACTGGCCTAGAATCTTCTTTCCCAGACCACGGGAGTTTATGGGGGAAAAAGACTTAAACCCCAATTTCACACTTAGATATTAACTTGTACTCCCTAGCTATTTCTGATATCCCTGCCCCTTAGAAGATTAAAATTTCCTTTCTATGGCAACCACGTCTTCTACTTCTTTTGACTCTTCCACCTTAATTTTTAAAGTTAACTTGAGAAAGAATGTGAAAATAAAAAACAGTTATAAAACTGTCATCCTTCAGATCCACCGATGGATATTAAAGTTTGTGGGCAAAAACCTGAGGAGAAACAGGATATCTGCATTGTCTCAAAGTGTCTCCCCAAGGATTTATTAAGAACACAGAGAACAACAGTCACTGTGTGGTGGAGAAACCTGGCGAACACCGCCCTAGCCGAGTATCAAGGCTCATATCACCGGGAACTGAACGTACCCATAGCACAGACCCCCGATATGATGCTCTGAGTGGGGCACAGCATCACTTCCGTGGCTTTCTTGATAAAAAATGCATCTCATTCTAATGATGAGAAAACACCAGACAAACCCAATAGGGACATTTCACAAAATAACTGATCAGTGCTCTTTCAAAGTGTCATCGTTGTGAAAATCAGGGAGAGATTGAGGGACTGTCACAGATGGGAGGAAACTAAGGAGAGGTGACGACTAACTGCGGGGTGGGGCCCTGAGCCACACCCTGGCACATAAGAAGGACACGAGAGGAAGAGCGGGTCAATCTGAAGAAGGTCCGCAGGTTAATGAGCAGTATTATACCAATGTCAACTTGCTAGTTTTGACGACTGCACTTGGTTGTCTAAGACAGCAGCACCAGGGGGACTGGGCAAAGAGAGTACAGAAACTGAACTGAAAGGATTACCAGGCAGACCATGTGCAGAACCTCCCAAACAAATGAGAGAAATACAGATACCTCATTAGAAAAAATTGGCAAACGACATGAATAGGCGTTTACCAGAAGAGAAAACATGTATAGCTAATAAATCAGGGGAATTTCAATTAAACCATAAGAAGATACAATTAAAAACTTTAAAGTCTAGTAACACTAAATATTGGCAAGGATGAGAGCAACAGGAACTCTTCTACTGCTGGTAGAAGCAAACTGGTACAATCACTTTGGAAAATAATTTGACCTATCTTGTCTATTTAGAGGTATATACGCCCTATGACTGGGCAATTCTACTCCATGGTACACATCCTAGAGAAACCCTTGAACACGTGCATCCAGGGGCACTCGAGAGAGATCACAGCAGTTCTGTTTGTAACAGCAAAACGTGGAACACAATTCCAAAGTGCACCTATGAGAGAATGGATGAATCCTAGTATATTCACACAATGGAAGAGTAGACAGCAGTGAAAATAGGACCACAGTTACACACATTACAAGAATAAATTTCAGGGGCCGGCCCCGTGGCTTAGGGGTTAAGTGCACGCGCTCCGCCGCTGGCGGCCCGGGTTCAGATCCCGGGCGAGCACCGAGGCACCGCTTCTCCGGCCATGCTGAGGCCGCGTCCCACATACAGCAGCTGGAAGGATGTGCAGCTGTGACATGCAGGTATCTGCTGGGGCTTTGGGGGGAAAAAATAAATAAATAAAATCTTCAAAAAAAAAAAAAAAGAATAAATTTCAAAATGTTGAGTGAAAAATGCAAGTCACAGAAGAATACATACAGTATGAAACCATTTATATGAAGTCTGAAAATAGGGAAAACTCAAGACTATGTTGTTTAAAAATAAAGACATATTGTGGCAACACCATAAAGAAAGGCAAGGACTGATGACCTAAAACTCGAGCCCTGGTTCTCAGAGGGCAAAGGGGTGTGAAAGTCGGGCTGTTTCTGGATACCCTGGGGGTGCGTTAATATCAGCTGGGCACATCTATTCTAGCTAGAGGAGAAGTCTGATGCCTTTCTTCATATACAGCTAATGTTGAAGGATAGTCAGAAAAAAATCAAGATGCCAACAGGCTGAAGACCCAAATTTTCCGTTTACAGACTTGTATCCTAAATGATCTAAATGACGGAGACGACTAGGCTTTTTGCAATTTTCAGACATTAAAATGGAAGAATCCAAGGGCACAACCTGGAAGGGTTCAGGTGAGCTTCCAGGGCACTGATCTGAAAACATTCATGAGTTGCCAGGCAGGATCCAGACATTACAAGATGGAAAGTTGCTTTAAGGAGGCATTAATTTCCTACTATGAACTAGATCTAAAAAACTTGAGCTCCTTGAGTTACACTGATCTTTAATATTTTACGAATCCTTCATATTCCTTAACAAGAACATTTACCTAGCCTGAATGAATTAATTTTGCTTCCTCTTGCACCATTTAGATAGCTTAGTGTGCCTCCATTGTGTGTTTCTGTTGTTGTATATTAGTATTTACAGCAATTTACAACTTGCCTATACTTTTACAGAGTTTTTAAGGAAACTTCACTAACGGTCAAAATGAGGCATGTAAAACACAATCACGGGGCCCAGAGTGGGGCTCACTCACCAGTTGAAACTCGCTCCTCCGGCTGAAAGCTTCCCTGATGCCCGAGTCCCTCCAGAGCGCGCTCAGAGCAGGCACATACAGCTGAAAGGTGGCTGGCTCCATGGGCAGTCCCGCTCTGTTCTCAAAGGCCATAAGGAACATCCCATGCTTTTCATTTTCGGAGTGCTGCCAAGGAATGCCAAGCTTGTCGCGCGCATCCACAAGAACTCGTGAACCCTGGGAAAGAAAAGAAATAAAAAGGATTTAATTGTGGGCCAAAGACTAACTCACGGTAGAGAACCTCGACATGGGCACGATTGTCATAAAGCAGGAAAATCACAAGCTATCACATTCGCAACCAGAACTCATCTCTTGGTTTGTTTTGTCATGGTGCAAATGGCTTAACTCCCACGAACATGACGGTACCAAGACAGATGTGGACATATACCACATGATAGGTCTGCCTTGGCTGTCACTCATTCGGAGAGGTCATGGCAGGCAGACAACTGGTGGGAAAGAAGTGGCCTCAAACTCAGCAAAACAAACACTGGAAATGAGCCCTATCAGTTAAGGAGGCAGTGTTTTAAAACAACTTCGACCACCAGTGCTACCACCACCACCAACCCTGAAATCTGGCGGCTCCTCAGCACCAGAAAGATCCAAGTGCTTATTCCAGCTCAGAATGAGCAGAACTTACACACCCAGGCAGCCAGGGTCCTGAGACAGGAAAAGACTAAAACAGACACAAGGTGGCGCGCCCTCTTGTGCCTACCGTTGCCCTCCGTAAAAGGAGCCGGGAGTCACGGTCTAGATTTAATGCCCCCATTGTTCATGGTGATGAGAAACTAGTTTCATTCTTTTGCTTATTTCCTCACCGTTAAAAATAAAGTTAGTATTTTCTGCCCTTTTCTTACCTCACAGACAGAGTCAAGGGGATGGAGAAACAGCCCTAAGCTAAAACAGCCTGAGAGGGAAAGCATCCAGACTGTGGACAATACTGTCTTGGTGATAACGGCTCACTGGGTAATGAGCAGGTTTATTCCATCATTCTTAGGTTAGTGCTTCAAAATCAGCAACACAGTATCTAAGGGAGGTTCTGCGTTCTTCTGAGGAAACTCACTGAATACTCTGGCATCATCGATCCTGGGGTGAGCAAAGAGCAGTGGGGGGTCCCTCCTTCTTTGGAAAAGCCTTCATTGGCTCAAAGTGGTCTGGCGGGACCAGGAACAACAGAGAGCAGTACCCTGTACCCCAGCAAAAAGAACACCAGGACGTCACTGCTCACTTGGCACTTACTTTTTTTAAAAAAATAACAGCTTTACTGGAATGTAAGTCACATAACATACAATTCCTGCATTTACAGTGTACAACTCAATGGTTTTTAGTTGGTAGTTATCCTAAAAAGTTTCACTTCCAACACCTGGGGCAGAGTGGATGAATCAATTCTGCCTTCTGCATATCTTTGCTGTAGCATCAGTTTGGTGTCTGTAACTTTCCTTTCTGCCTTGAACCACTGAATCGAATGGTTAATGGCGACCGAAAAGAGTAACTGCCATCTCTCCTCCAGACCCAGAGGACCAGGGTTGTCTGGCTAGAGATGTTCCTGTGATTCCCTCTTCAAGATCCATACTCGTCTGCCATCAGTGACCATGCCTAGTCCTACTGACCCACAAACGTATGTTCAATGCTTCCTTAGAGCAGAGCACCCAGCTCGGCACTGTGGGAAATAGAACATTTATGAAGCAGTGCCTGATCTCTAGAAATGCAGAATCTGGCTAGAGAGACAGATGTAGGAACTTAAAAAATTAACACCCATTCATGATAAAAACTCTCAGAAAACTAGGAATAGAAAGAGGAGAACCTCGTTAACTTGATAAAGAACACTGACAAAAAACCTATAACTAACATCATAATTAATGGTAAAATTAGTCTGAATGCTTTCACTCTAAGGTTGGGAACAAGACAAGGATGCCAACTTTTATCACTGCTATTCAACATGGTACTGGAAGTTCTAGCCAGTGTGGTAAGGTGAAGAAAAGAAATATAACACGTACAGATCAGAGAGAGAAAAATAAAACTAAGCCTATTTACAGATGAAATGATGATCTATGTAGAAAATCCCAAGGAATCTACCAAAAAACTTCTAGAATTCAAGTGAATTCAGCAAGGTCAACGGATAAAAAAATCAACCCACAAAACTCAACTGTATTTCTATATATTAGCAATGAACATGTGGAAATTAACGATACTATTAACAATCACTAAAAAAAAAACTTAGGTGTAAATCTAACAAAACTTGTGCAGAACTTGTATGCTGAAAACTACAAAACATGGGTGAAAGAAACCAAAGAAGATCTAATAAACGGAGGGACATACCATATTTGTGAATTGGAGACTTCACAGTAAAGATATCAATTCTCTCCAAATTGATATACAGGTCTAACACAATTTCTATAAAATTCAAGCAAAATCTTTTATGGATATAGGTACGATTATTCTAAAATTTATATGGAAAGGCACTAGATTAGCTAAAAATTTTTAAAAAGGAAAATTAAGTGGGACAATTTCAAGACTTACTCTATAAGCTACAGTAATCAAGACTGTGTGGTAGCAGTGAAGGAATAGACACACAGATCAACAGGACATGATAGAGAACCCAGAGATGGTCCCACACAAGTATGGCCAATTGATTTCTGTAAAGATCCAAAAGATTAAATACAGGAAGAAAATCCTTTTCAGTAAACGATGTTGGAGCAACTGGACATCCATAGGCAAAGAAAAGAAAAGAACTTTGACCTAAACTTCATACCATATACAAAATTATCTCAAAACATAAAACTAGGGAGCTGGCCTGGTAACGTAGTGGTTAAGTTCACACACTCCGCTCTGGCGGCCCGGGCTTCGCAGGTTCGGATCCCGGGTGCAGACCTACGCACTGCTTGTCAAGCCATGCTGCGGCAGGTGTCCCACATATAAAGTAAAGGAAGATGGGCACGGATGTTAGCCTAGGGCCAATCTTCCTCAGCAAAAAGAAGAGGATTGGCAATAGACGTTGGCTCAGGACTAATCTGCCTCACCAAAAAAAAAAACAAAACCAAAAACCAAACAAAAAAACCCCATAAAACTATAGCATAGGAGAAAATCTTCAGAACTACAGCTTGGTAAACAGTTCTTAGACATGACATGAGATGCATGATTCATACAAGAAAAATATCAGTAAATTGGACTTCATCAAAATTAAAACTTTTGCTTTGCAAAAGACTCTCTTAAGAGGCTAAAAAGAGCAGCTACAGATTGGGAGAAAATATTTGCCAGCCAAATATCTGACAAAGGACTCATATTTAGAATATATAAAGAATGCTCAAAACTCAACAATTAAAAAAATCAAACAATCCAGTTACAAAATAGGCAAAAGACATGAAGAGATGTTTCACCAGAACCCCTAACGATAGCAAGTAAGCAGGCGAAAGACAAGATGTTCAAGATCACTGGCCATCAGGGAAAAGCAAATTAAAACCTTGATAAGATATCATTATCTATTAAAATAGCTAAAACAAAAAACAGTGATGATACCAAATGGTGGTGAGGATGCAGAGATACTTGATCTCTCATGCACTGCTGGTGGGGATGTAAAATGGTGCAGCCACTCTGGAAAATAGTTTTCCAGTTTCTTAAAAAATTAAACATACACTTACCATACAACCCAGCAATCTCACTCCTGGGCATTTATCCCAGAGAAATGAAAACTTATGTCCACATAAAAACCTGTGCAGGAATGTTCATAGCAGCTTTATTCATGATAGCCAAAAACTGGAAACAACTCAGATGTCCTTCAATAGATAAATGGTTAAACTGTGGTACCTCTGTACCATGGAATACGACTCAGCAATAAAAAAGAATGAACTATTGATACACACAACAACTTGGATGGATCTCAAGGAAATTACGTTGAGTGAAAAAAAAACAATTTCAGAAGGTCACATACTATGTGATTCCATTTATATAATATTCTTGAAATGACAAAATTATAGAGATGGGAAACAGATTAGTGACTGCCAGGGATTAGGGATGGTAGAGGAAGGTGGGTGGGTGTGACTATAAAGGGGTGGCAGGAAGAAGATCTTTGTGGTTTTAGAGCAGTTCTGTGTCTTAATAGTAGTGTTGGTTACACAAATCTGCACGTGAGATAACATGTCAGAATTACACAGGCACACTGCACATTGTACATGTCAATTTCCTGGGTTTGATACTGTACTATAGTTACCTAAAATGTTACCATTAGGGAAAACTGGGTGATACCTCTCTGTACTATCTTTGCAATTTCCTGTGAACCTATAATTATTTCAAAACAAAAAGTTAACCAGCAATCACAGCAATACATGTCCCAATTACATGGTGTGGAAAGGGAAGGTTACTAGAGGCCAAGTGAAGAGAGATTAGTAGGAAAAGGTAAGGCTCGGAAATTCCTAACCAGAGACGGGTCTCCAACTGAGCTTTTGAAGTGCCGGTTAATTTCAACAACTAGCAACAGTGGATTAGATCCTATCCAGAGGGGAAATATGACTTAAATAAATCCTCAGCTCTCCTCTGTCTGCCACCACCTCCCCCAAGCACATTCCTGCCTCTGGGTCCTTCCCATCTCCCCATTTTCTCTGATGGCATCACGCCAAACTCCCACCTGCCCAAAAGGACAATACTGAAAAGGTTCAAGAACCCAAGAAAACAAAGATGTTTCATATTCTCTACATCATGCACAACAAAAAGCATCTGAGCATAGAGAGGGTAGAAGAGATTTCTCTGGTGAGACTCTTGGCAAAGGGGTCACAGCATCTTTGTGCAAACCAGAGGAAGGCTCCCTGCCATCCAGGCAGATGGGGTCCCACACCTGGCAAAGGAGCTGGGTCAGGATCTCAGCCCCTACCTACACCCCAGTCAGGTAACCAACCTGCCAACCATTTGTCATGGCCCTAATGACGCACACTCTAATACAGTGAATCTCATCGCACAAACAGATCTCTTTTCAGTGCTCTTTTGCACATTAAAAAGTTTAGCTTCGCAAGGAGCACAACCTCACTCACAAGTTAAATTGAGCCTCTGCTCCCTGGAGAGTTTCATTTTTATATGTCAGAGACGAAGGCAGGGAACCAAAATGGACTTAGAAGCCTGGGCGATCATTACCAAGACTGCTTTCACCACTGCACAAACCAGGCCTTCCCTAATTATTGGGGTGAATGTAG